TTTTCCACTTTTCCAGTTTTCCCATTTTCCACTTTCCCAGTTTTCCAATTTTCCACTTTCCCAGTTTTGCCATTTTTCTGTTTTCCCATTTTCCACTTCCCCAGTTTTCCCATTTCCCAGTTTTCCCATTTTCCACTTTCCCAGTTTTCCCCTTTCCCAGTTTTCCCCTTTTCCTGTTTTCCCATTTTCCACTTTCCCAGTTTTCCCATTTTCCGCTTGCCCAGTTTTCCCATTTTCCCGTTTTCCCATTTTCCACTTTCCCAGTTTTCCACTTTCCCAGTTTTGCAGTTTTCCAGTTTTGCAGTTTTTCAGTTTTGCAGTTTTCCAGGAGGGTTCATTTCCTCCCCTGGCTGAAAACAATGCGAGAGGAGCAGGACTCAGCATTTCTGAACACTGAAGCGCTGAGTTCAGCTCAGTTCAGCCCCAGAGCCCTCTTAACCCTTTCGCTGTGGGATGGAGCAGAATTCCCTGGGCAGCAGCAGCAGCTTTGGATTGAGAGAATTCAGAAAGGGCTTGGAGGTGGAAGAAAATTCCTGAGGGAGGGAAATCAATGAGGAGAAAAGTCTCAAAGCCAGGTCAGTCTGGCTGCACTCAGGGACTGGCCACACCAGTTTGTCTGTGAAAGCCTTGAGATTTCCGTGTGTCCTGCATGAACCCCCCATTCCCCAGTGCTCCAAATGCCAAAAAAGCTGGGAAAATGCTGTCCCAAAGCCACCCAGGGATGGAGGGACATGAGGCAGGTTCTCCAGGCCGAGGGGTCCTGGATTCCTGGAGAACCTGGAGGGGGCAGGTGCTTATCGCTGCTCTGTGCCATTTGCACAGGGTGACAGCAAAGGCAGAGCTCTGGAATGAGGAAATGTCCCTGAGGAATTGTCCCCTGTGCTCCTGCCAGCTCCCAGCCCTCCCCCACCGGGATTTCAGAGGGAGGGCAGGAAAGCTCTGCTCCATCTCACACCAAAGTGGCTACCAGAGGATCAAACCACGAACCAAGAGCTCCTTTGGCCTCAAACAAAACCTTTCATCTTTTTCTGTTTGCTTTTTCCTCCAGCGAAGCCGGCTCTGGGCTGACTTCCTTTGCTTCCAGCTCCAGTGTGGAATAACAAGCTGAAAAGCCACGAGGCTTCGTTTTTGAACGTGCCGAGGAATGGCCGACTTCAGAAGGAGCAGAAACGTCGGGAAAGCTCCGTGTTAAATGTTTCATGATTTCCACATCGAGAAATCTCGGTGTTAACTGTTTCATGATTTCCACATCGGGAAATCTCGGTGTTAACTGTTTCATGATTTCCACATTGGGAAATCTCCGTGTTAACTGTTTCAGGAAAGCTCGGTGTTAACTGTTTCATGATTTCCGCATCGGGAAAGCTCGGTGTTAACTGTTCCATCCATTCTAAGAGGGAAAACCTCCCCGTGATTGCCGTGCCGCGGACTTTAGCACCAATACTGCTGGGTGCACAGATCTCTCGTTCTGTGCCTGTATTTGCATTTTGCCAGGGGGGTCGGAGCTGGGATTCCCTCGGGAATGCCTCTCCCGGGATTTTGCTGCGAGCAGGGCACAGGTGAGGCCGGGAGAGGCCGTTCCTGCCCGAGAGGGGAGAACCCAGCCCTTGGCACGGGCACACGGTGCCCATGGAGCCCCCCTGGAATTGTTTCCTGCCCGGCCGGGCGAAGGAGGCGCCTGGGAACTGAGGGAGCCGCGGTTTCTAACCCAGCCCCGGGTAACTCATTGACCTCTGCCGGGAAGCGGAGGTTCCCAGGATGATAAGGAGCTCTTGGAAGGAATTCCTCCCCTCGTGTGAGGGAGTGGCAGCGCTGGGCACGCTCGCAAACACGTCCGCAGCCCCGGCAGCTCCAGACCGGCAGCGCAGCAGCGTTCCCTGGGGCTCGGAGGGAATTGGATGCGGGAGCTCCAGAGAGGCTAGAATTGGATGCGGGAGCTCTCCGGGAGGGAAGCGGAGCCGGGAGCAGGTCAGTGGAGCCGCGGTCTGTGTATCTGTCCCCCGGGCTGTCCCCTGCCCTCTGTCCCAGCTGGGCAAAACCAGCCGGGAGCTGTGCGGGTGGATGGAGAGATCCAGAGCCTCTGGAATTCCAGACTGGAGCGATCCAGAGCCTTTGGAATTCCAGGCTGGAGAGATTCAGGGCCTCTGGAATCCAGGCTGGATCCAGCGCCTCTGGAAGTCCCGGCTGGAGCAATCCAGAGCCTCTGTAATTCCCGGCTGGAGCGCAGAGTTCGGGGCTTTGGCGCTGCCTGGGTCAGGGGCTCAGGAAGGGACAGGAGGGTTTGGGTACTTTGGCACCAGGGGCTCAGGGATGGGTACGGAGGGAGGGACAGGAGGGTTTGGGAGCTTTGGGAACCGAGAAATGGGTTTGGGAAAGGGGGTTTGGTGCCAGGGCTGGGTTTTGGCCCCACAGAGCTCTGGGGTTTGCGGCAGCTCTGTCCCCGAGCCGAGGGTGCCTGCACAGCCACTCTGACCCTGTTCTGTGCCCAGTGCAGGGAGCGTGGCTGGCGCTGGGATTGCAGAGGGAGCAGAGCCCCTGGAGAGCGGGCACAGGCAGAGAACCCCCTCTGGAACAGGCTGAGATGCCAGGAAATATTCCAAACTTATCCCTGGCTTTTCCAGGGAGGCCAGGCTGCAGCAGCAGCAGCAATGGGGGCTCTCCAGGGCAGATCCAGCATTTATTTGTTGGGAAGCAGAAGGGTAGGAAGTGGAGTGAGAGGTTTTCAGCTTGCTGGCCAAAAGGCAAATTCCAGCTCAGGTCAAACAGGAGGTGACACCTTTGCTTGTACAGGGATGGGTTTGGTTGTTAAGTTGTCAGGGTAGACTTGAAAACAAAAAGACATTTCACAACCACAAAGGAAGACATTTGTGTTAAAAAAATTTATTAAAATATTAAATCCCCCCGTTAAATCCCTTCCACTGCACCAGTGTACTCACAGCCCCATCCAGCCTGGCCTAATTATTCCCTACTATAATAATTAATGTAATAATGAAACCCTGGATTAGTTATTCCCTGCTCTGGAGAAGTCCATGGCCTGGGATGCAGCCTGGGAGAGCCAGCAGTGCTCCTGGAGCATCCCCAGCACTCAAATCCCTGCAGTGGTGGCTCTGCCTGGTTGTTGCAATAAAAACCCACCCCTAAAACCCCTCCCAACCCGCAAGTTCTCTCCCTAAACCCTTTTGGGTTTTATTTTGCAGGGGCTGTGTTGCTGCTGCCCAAAGATGCTCTGCAGACCCCGCACAGCTCACTGAACCCTCCCAGCCACCCCAAATCCCGACCCTGAGGGCTGGAGAAGCTCTGAGGATGTGAGTGAGCAGGGAATGAGGCTCACCCTCATCCTGGGATGCCCAAGGGATCCTGCAGGGCAGCCAAGCCCTTCCTGTTGCTGCTGGAGCTGGGGTTTGCACAGTGCTGCCCCCGGGGTGCCCACGCTGCCAGGGCTGCAGGACTCACCTGGCTGTGGGTGCCAGAGATGCCCATGGTGCTGCCAGCTGCCCCCAGGGTGACACAGGAGAAGCATCAGGCAGGCAGGAGGAGCAGGATCACAGCCAGACCCGCATGGAGGACGCTGGATGGGCCCCAGCTGGACACCCCCAAAGGTGAGGGAGCAGCTCTGCCTCTGGGAACGGGGGAGAGCAGCTGGGAGCTGGGGCGGGCTTGGCAGAGCGAGGGGAGGAATGGCAGGAATGTGCCATGTGGGATGGGCACTGCCCTCCTGGAGGCAGAGAGCAGGAAAGGAGGCTCAGGGGGCCCTGCTGGCTCTGCACAGCTGTGACAGGAGGGGACAGCCAGGGAACAGGGACAGGAGGAGGGGAAATGGTCCCAAATTGCACCAGAGTTGGATATCAGGGAGAATTTCTCCATGGAAAGGCTTGGCAAGCGCTGGCACAGCCCATCCAGGGCATGGTGGAGTCCCCATTTAAAGGACATAGCTGTGGCACTTGGGGACACGGTTTAGTGGTGCCCTTGGCACTATTAGGTGTGTGGCCAGACCTGATGCCCTTAAAGGCCTCTCCAAAGCTCTCTGATGCCCTAAAGGCCTTTCCAAAAATCACTGATGCCCTTAAAGGCCTTTCCAAAGTTACTGATGCCCTTAAAGGCACCTCCAAAGCTATCTCATGCCCTAAAGGCCTTTCCAAAGCCAGCTGCTGCAGTGAGTCCCTCCTGTGCCCCCCCTGCGCCCGTGCCCGCTGCCCCCGCGGTGGCAGCGCCCTCTCAAAGGGGACATTGTGCATTGTGGCCGTGCCCAGCCCCGTGCCGGGCGGGCAGCGAGCAGCCCTGCCCCTGCCAGCCCTGTGCCAGCCCTGTGCCAGCCCTGTGCTGCTGTCACTGCTGCCACACATGGGCTGCTGCCTGGGGACCCCCTGGCACCCGGAGCTGGCGCTGGGATGCACAGGTAAGGTGCCCGTGGGGCTGCAGGGCTCCTGCCATGGGCTGGGAGCCTTGGGGACACCCTGGCACTGAGCACTGGCCTCCCTGCCTTTCCTCTGGGATGGCTCCTGTGCTCTCTCCTCTTGGACTGGGGGTGTAGGGAGTGAGGCAGGACGGTTTGGCCAGGGAGGGGACAGGGTGACTCTAGGGCTGGTTTATTCCCATGCTGTTGGTGTTTCCCCTCCCTGCCCAGGAGCTCTCCAAGCACAGCCCGTGGGTGCTGGCATCCCCCAGGGCACCATTCCCGCTCCAGGGTGTCCCTGTGAGCTGCAGGAGGGACATGGCTCAGGGCCAGCCAGGGCCAGAAGGTGCCCTGAGCACCAGCCCTGGAGCCAGGAGTGCAGCCCTGAGTGCTGGGACCTGCCTGGGGCTGGAGCTGTTTGCTGCCCACTGGCACAAAGTATTTTGGCACCGAGGAGGTCAGTGAGTCACTGGCACAGCTGGGAACAACTCCTCAGCTGCAGTTTCAATTGGTCTCTTGAAAAGAAAGCTCCCAGTTCCCTTTCTGAGCTGGCTCAAATGAAAATAAACACTGAAGCCGTGAGAGCAACCGGAGTGAGCCCCGGGGCCCCATGGACGGGCTGTGTCCTGCTGCTGGCAGGGGTGGCACGAGCAGCGTCCCACCTGTCACACCCCAGGGACGCCTCTCGGGCCGGGAGGATCCTGCCAGGGGTGTGGACGCCTCTGCCCCCACTGCAGGTGAGGAGTGCGAGTCCTGCTGGCCCCAGGCCCTGGAGCTCCGGCCCCACGGGGACAGCCTGCACCGCCGGGGACAATGGTGGAGGGACACGGACACGGACACGGACACGGCACCAGGGACACGGCCCCGGGACATGGCAACAGGTACCCAACCCCATCCCCAGGGGATGGCATCAGGTACCCAGCCACAGGGAATTGCATCAGGTACCCATCCCCAGGGAATGCCATCAGGGTCCCATCCCCAGGGAATGGCATCAGGCACCCAACCACAGGGAATGGCATCAGGGATCCATCCCCATCCCCAGGGAATGGCATCAGGGCCCCATCTTCAGGAATTATATCAGGGACCCATACCCATGCCCATGCCCATCCCCAGGAAATGGCACCAGGTATACCCACCCCTAGGGAATGGCACTAAGGACCCATCTCCATCCCCAGGGCATGGCACCAGGGACCCATCCCCAGGGAATGGCACCAGGGACCCATCCCCATCCCCATCTCCATCTTCAGGGAATGGCACCAGGTACCCCCTCCCCCGCCCCCAGGCCCTGCCAGGCTCTGTGGGCACAGAGAAGGGAGGAGGGCAGCCAGGAGTGGAGCAATGGCAGGAGCCAGCTCAGATTGAGTTCTGCCTGCCTCCACTTCCCCTTCTCCATTTTCTCATGTGGAGCTGCCACATGAAATGTTAAGACTTTGTTCAATGTAGACCCTTTTCTTTCGAAGCAAAACTCATTCATGGCCTGTCCAGCCTTGGGCTGTTCTTTTCTCCTTGTCAGCTCTACATGAGAATTCTATTTCTTTAAAAAAGAATTCTATTTCTGCATGCAAATACCAGTTTATCTGAGTGGCTGGCAAAGCTGGCTCAGTGAAAAGAACTGTAGAGCAGAGTTCTGGTCAAAGAAATGACTTTAAAAGCTGCTGCACATTCCAGCTCCCCATTTCCAGGTACATGTTTATCTTACAAATCCTGTCTGATTGCTGACAAAAATTGGGGTTTAATCTGGTTATCCTTCCACTGCCAATGCAGCTGTGGAGAGCAGGGCTGGAGCTGTGTGTGCCTCAGCTTTCATTAACATAATTAGCAGCTCACATAGCAGGCCCTGAATCCTTTATGGCAATAGCTGATGATGTGTGGAGCAGAATGCTGCTTGGGTTTTGGATACCCAGCAGAGCAGGCAGGGGAGAAAATCTCATTTTGATTTTTGAATTTTTGAACGAAGAGTTTTGCAAGGCCTTGGCTCTCCTGTGCTGGGGAGTTGAGGCCTCCTCCAAAAAAATCTCTGTTGGAGATTCACCCTTTTAACAGATCTGCTCATCTGAGGATCTGGCCAGGAGAAAGGAGGGAAATCTCCTCACTCCAGAGCCACTGCAGCACTGGAAAAAAACACAGCATCAATGGAATGATGGAGTCGGACCCCATCACTCCCATGGGTGTCATGGACAACTTTCATGGAAAATCCTTTCCTTAGGATTTTTCCTCCTGAGAAGCTGAGAGACCTCAGGAACAAAATGTAAACATTGATTATCTGCTGCTGTGGAATGCAACAGGTGCATCTGTGATTGGTCTCATGTGGTTGTTTCTAATTAATGGCCAATCACAATCAGCTGGCTCAGACTCTGTCCGAGACAGAACTTTTGTTATCATTCTTTCCTATGCTATTCTTAGCCAGCTTTCTGATGAGACCTTTTCTTCTGTTCTTTTAGTATAGTTTTAATGTAATATATAACACAAAACAATAAATCAGCCTTCTGAAACACAAAGTCAGATCCTTGTCTCTTCCCTCATCCAAGAACCCCTGTGAACACAGTCACACATGGGTCTCTCCAACCTTGAGCAGGACTTGAGGCTGGTTCCAGAGTCACCCAGTCCCCAGCAGAGGTGCAGGGCTGTGCTCCAGGAGCTCTGCAGGTCCCCAGCAGATGTGCAGGGCTGTGCTCCGGGAGCTCTCAGCCGAGGCAGGACATCCCAGAGCTGTGCACAGCATTCCCAGCAGCTCTGCTGTTCCCTCCTCTGCAGGTAAGGCTGGGCTGGCAGGGAGGAGCAGCCCCGCTCCCGAGGCAGGACACGGCTCCCCGGAGCCCCCGGTGGTGCTGCTGGCTCTCAGGGACACCTTTCCCCCAGGTAAGGAGCTCCTGGGGCACCTCACACATTCCCTGGCTCCCCACAGTGCCTTGGGTCTCACCTTGGTGCTGAGGGATGGGGATGGGCTGGGCTTGTGCTGTGTGAGCATCACAGCAGGCTGGATGTGCAAACCCAGGGCACACAGGGAATATTCCTCTGTGTGCTCTGGGGTGCCCTGACCCCCAGGGCAGCACTGACTTTGACCCTCATTCATGGAGAAAGTTCCCTAAACTCCAGAATAGACTGGAATCCACAAAAGCGTGAAATAGATAATAGAGAGCAGTGCAGGTGTGTCACTTGGTGAGAAAATTAGATTTTGGGGTTTTTAGTGTGTTGTGGATGGAAGCAAGATGGAGGGCACAGGGTGTCATCTTGGGTTTCTTCTTCATGCTTCTTCTTCCTCCTTCTCCATGGGTTTGGGTGGCATTTTGTAATTGGGCAGAAAAGTTCACACTGGGGGCTGTTTGGGATCTGTGATTGGGTTTAAAGGGGAAATAATCCGGGTGTCAGTTCTTAATTGGATAGTTTAGTCTTAAAAGACCTTGGAACAAGAGATTGTTGGTCATTTTGTGCCTTCTAATGAAAAGCTGCAGAACTCACAGTGGGACTGTTTTACTAATAAGAAATAATAAACACCTGAGTCCCAACATGAACTATCATCCCAAGTGCCTTCAATCCAGCCCCAGAGAAACCCACAGGGTTTCTGGAGGCTCTGGTGGCCCTGGCAGGGTGGCAGGGGTGGCTCTGGGTGCCCCAGAGCTCCTCCTGCCCTTCCATCCCCCTCTTTTCCCTTCCCAGAGCTCTCTCTCTCCTTCTCTGTGGAGAGCCGCTCCTGCGGGCGCCGCAATGCCCAGCTCCAGGAGGCTGCCAGGAGGAGGCTGTGGGCTCTGGAGAGCGATGACACAAGTGTCTGTGCCCTCTTCAAGGTACAGACCCCGTGCCAGCGTGCTGACATGCTCCTGGAATGGTGGGAGGTGTGCTGGGGTGCCAAACCCAGATGAGGAGCTCCTCCAAGGCCACTGCAGGGGTCTCTGGAGGGGACTGGAATGATGGGGAAGATGAACTGATGGCAAGGGAGGGGCAAAGCTGAGCCTTGTGTTGTTTTGGGGATCTGAGCCTAAATATCCAGGAATTCACAGGACTGGGATCACCAAATCCATGTCCTGCTCTGGACAGGCACAGAGTTCTCAGGCTGGGTTTTCTACCAACAAATCCCAGCTGCAGAGAGGATGCCCGGACTGAACTCTCCTTCCCTGCTGGGTTTCAAGGTTCTAGGAGTGTCCCTTGATCTGCTTTGTCTCCCTGTGCAGGAGCTGTCAGCCAGGCTGGTCTGCACCCAGGCACATGAGGATCGCTTCCTCCTCACCTTCAAAACCCCCGAGGAAGTCTGGAAGTTTTCCACCTATCTGACTTTAGGTAATGTTCCCAAGGTCTAAACAGACAGTGTGAGGAGGGTTTTTGGAGAAGGCATTGCCTGACACTACAGAACTGCAATGTTCAGGGTGGACAGTGAGAAATGAATTAGAAAACTTTGCAATCTGTTGTTTATGAAATCTCTGTTTGGATCAGGGAGAATTGGGAGGATTCTTTTTGGGAAATTTTGGAGACTAAATTATAAGCTTTTGCCTGACAATTGGAAATCCCCAAGACCCTTCCTGCTGCCCAGAGAGGGAGGTGCTGATCCTGATGCCCCTGTTGGCTTCTCAGGGTACGTGGGGACCTGCCTGGAGCAGCTGCTCCTTGCCCAGGAGTTCTGGCTGGACTGTGCCCTGGTGGAGGACACAGAGCTCAGGGTCACCGTGGATGAGGAGCACCTGGCCACCATCTACATGGATCTGCTCCTCCAGGAAGGTGTGATGGGAATGCCCGTGGGGGAATTCCTGAAAATCCCCCAGCAGGGCTGGGCTGGAGCCCCTGGTGGGCTGATCCCACGTCTGACTCTCTCTGCAGGGAACTTCTTCTGCAGGGCAGTGCCTGGGGTCTGCAAGCTGGAGCAGGAGGGAGAGGAGGGTCTGCAGCTCTGCAGGAACGAGCTGGTCCATGTGAAGAGCGCTGGACAGGATTCCAGATGGGAAGGGATGTCCCTGCTGACGGGGCAGCGAGGCGTGGTGCCCGTGACTGCTCTGGAACCACTAGCTCACCCCTTTTACCAGTAAGTGCTGAATGAAAGGGCTCAGACCAGGATTCTTTCCTGATCCTGATCCATCACTGGCACCAAGGCTGGCTGGGAAACTCCTCTTGCCTCTGGCAAAGGACAAGAGCCTCACAATTCTGTGAGAATATTTCCAGGAGGGTCCACATTAGGCATAAAGACTGGAATTAATGCAAGTGCAGTCAATGGGACACAGCAAGGACACGCTCCTACTTTAGATGTGATTTTTGTAAGGTATTGATCGAGGTCATACATGAGGTTATCTCTGATTAACAGATGAAGAAGTGGCAGAAAAAATTCAGGCAATGCCAGGCAAAGTGAGGCTTCACACTGGTCACCAGGCTGAGCCTTTCACTTGGAGAAACCTTTCCTAAAGATGGCAAATTTATCCTGCTCCTCCCCTGTGGTGTGACACCATCCCAGGGCTGGCCTGAGCTCAGGAGCGCTCACCAGGACCACTGAGGTCCCCTTTGCCTTGCAGGTGGTTCCTGAGGAATTATGCTGTGAGCTTTGGCCTCTCCCAGGAGATCAGCGGGACGAGCTCTCGGGCCATTGGTGAGTGACACCTGTGCACTGTCCCAGGCTGGGCACCAAACCTGGGTTTGGCCACAAATGGCCACAGATCCACCTGCTTTTCTGGGACTGACCCCACCACAGGGGCTCTGAGGGAATGCTGCATCTCTGGGCCCTCTGGAACGCAGATCAGAACTTGCAAACCACGTTCTGAGGAGCACAGAGAGCTGCTGGTGACACCCTCCTGCCACTGGCTTTTCCCTGCCCTACTTCAATTTTATGTTTCTTTTCATTCTTTCAAAGTGAGGTTTCAAATTATGAGGTTCCCACCTTGTGCTCACATGAAACCTGTGCCCTCCACCCAGCCCTCAACCCAGTCCAGTCCGGTTCAGAGCAAGCTGGACACAGGAGGGCCCTGCAGCTGTGACTTTGTCATGTAGGGATGGACATTGGCACTGTCCAGGATTTCACTCCTGGCAGAATTGAAGTAAGACAGGGATTTTTCTGTGAAAATCCATATTTCCAGTCACCTTCCAGGCTGCAGCTGAAGAGGGGTGGAGTTTATCCATCTCTCTTTTATTTTGTATTATAATCCATTTCTCTAGGAGAAAAGGCAGAGAGCTGGACCCAAGATCACAATAAATCTTAGGGGAGAGAGGGGCAGCCCTCTCTAGCTGGAATCATGGCCTCTCCCTGCCCAGATCTTTTCCAGTGAGGAGGTTTTAGCAGGGATCCCACTGAAATTCCCTGTTTTGCCTTGCTTTCCCAGTCAGAGGCAGGTGCATCGCCACCAAGGACCACAGAGGAGCAGCGTGGGATGAGCTGAGCTTCTCCAAAGGAGATCCCATAGAAATCATTGGATTCTTCATCCCTGGGCTGCCCTGGTTTGTGGGCAAATCCCTCAGCACCAGGAGCATCGGCTTCGTTCCCACCCGACACGTAAACCCCGAGGCTTGCGAACCTCTGTGAGTTTATTTAAATTAAATTCTGGAGAAAAGGGAGGGGAGACTCCAAATCCCACCTCAGGGCTGTGTGAGAGCCTAGGGCAGGCGATTCCCCTTGCAGGACCTTCACAGAGGATGGGTTTGAGGTGTGAGCAGAAGCTTTGGCCAGGCTCTGCTGCAGCCCAGACACAAAAATTGCATTTCACCTGCCTCAGGTGGTTCTTGGAGAGGAACAGATCCAGCCCTGGGCTTATTCCTGCAAGCTGGCTTCCCATTTTGTCCTAGAAATGTCTCCAGTTTGTATCTCTGAGGGGCTGGGAGCCTGGCAAGGATGGAGAGAGCATTTCCAGCCCAGGAAACAAATCCTGCTCTCCTTCCTCCTGCCCTGGGTGTGCAGGCAGAACTGGCACAGAGCAGAACTGCACACCCACCACACAGGGACACAGTGAGAGCTGTCCAGGGAGGGAGGGTGCTAAATCCCCCCGTGACTCTGCAGCTGGCTCTGGTGGTGGCTTCCATCGCAAAAGTATGGGTAGGAGGACAAGGTTTTAACCAGGGTCTGCTGGGCTTTCCCCTCTCAGAGTCACTCCAGGTGAGTTCTAGCACTTTTCTCTGACTCCAGAAGGGAAAGAGCAGATCAGGTGGTGTCCTGTGGCTTTTGGATTCCAAACCAGACCAATAGGTCCTTTCCTCTGGTGCCTTTCTGTTCCTTCATGGAGAAACTTGATGGGGAAGGTTTCCAGAATCCTGTGTTCATCTGCAACACACCTTCTGTGGTGGGAGGAAGAGAAGGCATGGGAAAACTTCCCATCCCATCCCATCTCATCCCATCCCATCCCATCCCATCCCATCCCATCCCATCCCATCCCATCCCATCCCATCCCATCCCATCCCAGCTGCAGTGTCAGGGGCTGGGCACACGCTGACTCTTTTCTCCTGCCCCACCTCAGGGGAAAGGGCTTTGTGTTTCTGAGTGAAGAGGAGAAGTCCCCAGTGCTGCACATCCCCTGCAATGGTGACGAGGAACACTTTGCCACCCTCCTGGGGGACCTGGCACACACGGACATCACCTCTGTGTACAGGCTGGGTGAGTGTCCCCTCTCTTTATATCCCAGTCCTGCATCCCCAGGGAGAGCTGGGCAGGCCTGGAGAGCCCCAAGATCATCGGGGTGCAGTGGAGGCACCTTCTGGGGTGGAGGCAGCACAAACCTGTGTGTGACAGTGTTCACAGGGGTCCCAGGATGAGGGAAGAGACGAGGATCTGACTCCGTGTTTCAGAAGGCTATTTATTATTTTATTATATATATTATATTAAAAAGAATAGAAGAAAATATTTCATCAGAAGGCTTGAAGGAAAGGAAAAAGAATGGAATGATAATAAAATCTTGACACTGACCGAGACAGTCCAGACATCCGGACTGTGATTGGCCATTAATTAGAAACAACCCCATGAGACCAATCACAGATGCACCTGTTGCATTCCACAGCAGCAGATAATCAATGTTTGCATTTGTTCCTGAGGCCTCTCAGCTTCTCAGGAGGAAAAATCCTAAGGAAAGGATTTTCCATAGAAAGTGTCTGTGACACCTGTGCTCAGTCTGGTGACAGAGGCTGGAGGTGTCCTCAGGAGGTGACCCTGCCATGCTGGAGTCTGCAGGGCCCTTTTCTGCTTCCAGGGCAGCTCCTGAGCTGGGATTCACCCTGGCAGGTGCTGCTTTCCACTGAGCCTGGCCTGCAGCACCAGGGTTGGGGTTTCTGGGGGCTCTCACTTTCTCTGTTCTGGCTGGGGGGCTTTGGGACTTCAGCTGATTTCTGCACACTGACACTGACCAAGGATTTGGGGGTTGTGTTCTGTTTGTCTCTTTGTACAGCTGGGTTTGAACCCACAGCCGCGTTCCCACAAGTGCCACCAGGTGAGTACGAGGAAGGGACAGAGGGGGAGGCTTTGGTGATGGCTGCTGAGGGTGAACTTGGACAGGAGGAAACATCAGAGAATGGTTTGGGTTGGCAGGAACCTTAAAGCTCACCCTGCCATGGTCAGGGACACCTTCCACAACCCTTAAAGGTCACCCTGCCATGGTCACGGACACCTTCCACTATCCCAGATTTCTCCAAGCCCTGTCCAACCTGCCCTTGGACACTTCCATGGGTGAGGCAGCCACAGGGAAGAATTTCCTCCTGATCCCTCTGTGGTTTCCCTGTCCCTTCCAGAGGCTGCTCTCCATGGCAGTAAAGAAATCCAGGTGCTCCAGTCCTGGGAGGAGATCAATGACTGGGCCACCAGCAGCACCTCAGAGCTGTCCAGCCCAGGCAGTGAAACAGGTCCTGGCACACTGGAAGATGTTCTGCTGGAGAAGCTGGACGACTTGGATTATCCCAAATTCTTCATCGACCTCAACGCTGGCCACATGGAGGATGCTGATGTCTTTGACCCCATACTGACCTTCCTCAACCAAGACAGTTTCGTGCCCAGTTTCCAAAGCTTTTATGATCTCAGCTTTTCCTTTCTCCACTCCACTTTTTATGGTTTCTCTGATGAGGATGAACTGGTCCTGTACCTCGAGACTTCCCGCAACTGGGCCAAGAGGACTCGTTCAGTTTGGGCTCACGTCAGGCTCTGCTTCCTCTTGGGTAAGCTCTGCATCAAAAAGCTCAAGCTCTCCCAGGCCCGGGTGTACTTTGAGGAAGCCATGAGTGTCCTGGACAGGGGCTTTGGGGACCTGCCCCTGCTGGCAGCACTGCACGGGAGCCTTGCCTCCATCTACCTGAAGCAGAACATGAAGCACAAGTTCTCCTCCCTGCTGGGGAAGACAGTGACCCTGCTCGTGTGCCTGCCTGGCCGCTCCTTCAGCTCGGAGAATGAGCTGGAGCTCCTCACCTACATCCTGAGGGAATCCATCGCTGTGGGCAATGCCCCACTGGAGGCCCGGATCTGCTTCCTCATTGTGAAACTCTTCCTGCAGCTGGGCAGGACCGAGGAGGTGCTGCCCTTTCTGGAGCATCTCCAGTGCCTCAGCACCACCTGGCTCAGCCCAGGCAGCCGTGCTGGGCCCCTGGATGCCACTGCCACCCTGGGCTACCTCTACGACAAGAAATGCCTGCCGAACATCGCGCTGGCCTCCGTCAGGTCCTTCGTTCCCAGCAGCACCAAGGGCACACCGACTCCCGTCTGGCGAGCTGGCTTCATCCTCCAAAACGCTTCCAAGCTCCTGGGGAGGCAGCAGCAGGACAGGAGCACCATCCCAGCAGTGGCTTGTGTGTACCTCAGGCAGGCTCTGCAGTTCTGCTGCGAGAGCAGGGCCGTGCCCATGCAGAGGATGCTCTGCGCCATCCTGTCCAGGGTGTACCTCCAGCACGGCCTGCTGGATGGAGCCATTCCCTACGCAGCTAGAGCAGCAGATCTGGCCAGACTGCTGGGGGAGGACGAGGCATTTGAGTCCTCGCTGTGCCTGGCCTGGCTGTACGTGCTGCAGCGGCGGCCGGGCCCGGCGGGGCAGCTCCTGCAGCGGCTGCAGCGCTGCCTGCGCGGCGCGGCCTGCGAGACCCCGCATGGCGCCGTGCACAACCTGCTGGCCATGGCCCTCACTGCCCAGGGCCGCCTCCAGGAGGCCGCAGAGAACTTCCTGAGGGCCCTGCACAAGGCCAAGGAGGCGGGGAGCTGCAGGAACCAGGCCGTGGCCCTGGCTAACCTGGGCCAGCTGAGCCTGTCGTGTGGGGCGGCCCAGCTGGCCGAGCTGTACCTGCTGTGGGCAGTGCGGCTCTACAGCGAGCTCCAGGGCCACCGAGAGATGGACACGGAGCTGGCACAGGTGCTGCTGTGGCTGGCACAGGCCATGGTGGACAGGCAGAGGAGGGAAGATGCCAAACTGTGTTATGAGCTGGCGCTGGGCTTTGCCCTGAAGTGGCAGAACCTGAGGAGTGAGTATAGGGGGGAGCTGGGCAGTGTTTGACCCCGTCAGGTCCTCAGCGCTGTCCCCTGAGCTGTCCTTCTCCCTTTCCCTGTGCCACACAGGTCAGCTGTCCCCTGAGCTGTCCTTCTCCTTTTCCCTGTCCCACACAGGTCAGCTGCACGTCACGGAGTGTCTGTGCCATTTCTACAGCAGAGTGTGCCCTGACCTGCAGGCCTCCATCACCTACCACGAGCACTGGGCATCCCTGGCACGGCAGCTGCAGGACAGGGAGATGGAGGCCAGTGCCAGGCAGGCCCTCAGCCAGCTCTACCAGGCTCTGGGCACACCTCAGTGAGTGCCTGGGCTGTGGGATGCTGCCAGAGTGTGCTGCCTTTCCTGGGGTGCCCCTCAAGCAGGGTGGTGGTGGCTCCATCTGCCCCACAGTTCAGATTCTGAGGTTTATGAGCTGCCACTATGCTCTGAGAGGGAGCAGCTCAATGTCAACCAGAGCTGGGCAAACGTTGACCCAGACAGAACTGGAGTGTGGCCAAACACAGTTTTCCAGGACACATCCAGGCTTCAGCAGAGTGACAGGGAATTCATTGCTTCCTTTGGAAGCTTATCCCAATGATTAATCACCACTCCCCAGCAAGAACAGGCTCCTGATCTGCTCTTTGAGTAAGTCTGGATTCAGCCTCCAGCTGCCAAGGCTGCCCTTCCTACATCTGCTGTGATATTGTCCCCAGAGAGGGCCTAAAGACCCACAGGAGGTGCTTAAAACCAGTATTAGCTCACCTTTAATCCCTGCCTAACACTGTGTGGGACTGGGAGAGGAGAGGAGAGGAGAGGAGAGGAGAATGGGACAGGCCACAGACATTAAACACAATCAGATCAAAGAGTGGAGAGGCAGTTCCCAGTCCCAGAAGGACAAATGGCAGGGCTGTCCTCAGCTGGGATGTTCACCTCCCAGGCAGGTCAGGGTGAGTGCAGGGGGAAGGTATTCAGGGAGCAGATGCCTGTCATGTGAACGGTGCTATTTAGGATCACAAAGCGCCCCATTGCCTGGGCTCCCAGGACAGCTGGGGCCTGCCTCCCAGCGAACAAACTGCCCTGGACACTGCTGGCTCTCCCTCCCCACAGCTGAGTCCATGTCCAGCCCTCTGGCTCATGCCACTGCCTGGCCCTGTGTCCTCCAGTGACCAGGGGCTGGAAAGGGGGCTTGGACATGTAGCCAGAGATCTCACAAGGGACAAACACCAAGCAAAGGTGTGGGTTTGGGTGCCAGGTGCTGTCTGGGACATGTAGGTATCAGCATCCCCTGCTGGTGCTCCCATGTGGAGCTGGGAGTGACTTTGGGACTCGGTTTAGGGAGGCAGGTTGGGTTTGGAGGTGACCTGGATGAAACCTTCTTAGTCACCCAGGGGTGAGGAGCAGCCTGAGTGGGACCACTGGTGTTCTGAGTTGTGCTAAGGTGGCAAAATGCCATTAAACCTGAGCATTAAAGCATGGAGACATCCATGATCCTACCAGGACACCTTGCTCAGAGGTGACCATGTCCTTCTGTCCCCAGACTTTGGTAACTCCAGGAGGAGAGGGCAGGGGGTCAGTGCCATGGGGAGGTGGCCTGGGGACAGCTCTGTGACTCCTCTGAGGTGGCTCTTTGCCTGTTGCCATCGCAGGGCTTTGAGACAATCCCTGGACTGCACCAAGCAGAGCCTGAGGATCTTCATCGACCTGCAGGAGGCTGTGAAGGCAGCAGAGGCCTGGCTGCAGGCAGGAAAACTCTATTACCTCCTGCAGGAGGATGAGCTGGTGGAAATGTACTTCCAGGTATGGGGGAGGTGGCTGGAGCTGTGCCTTGCATTCCCATCACAGCCTTTTGGGGCTGGGAAACCTGGAAGGGAAAGTTCTGAGCACTGTGAACCTGCGGCTGGAAGGAAGGAGGAGCTCTTGCCTTACCCTCAGGCACTGAATTTCCTCTCTTTCTTTCCATCCGCTGAGTTTAGAGGATTTTGGGGTGAAAAGAAGTGAGTTCATTGAGACAGAAAGTGACGGGGGAGCGCCAAAAGAAGCTGGAGGTGCCAAGTGAGCAGTTCCCATTGAAATATCCATAAATAAGGGACAAGTGCCAGGGAAGTCCTTGGAGTTGAAGACTTCTGGCACCTCTCCATCCCCAGCATTATTTTATCAGCTGAGCTGCAAAGTGGAAGAGCAGCTCCTAAAATTTGAGGTTTATTTTATCACACCAATGTCTCTGCCTTTCCAAATGTCACCCCAGCCCCTTTTTCCTTGCAGGCAGCCATCCAGACTGCTCTGAAAGGGGACAACTTCTCCTTGGCCATGGACCTTTATGAGAAAGCAGGTGACACCTTCTTCAATGGCAGCCGGAACAGGGCCCGGGCAGTGGAGTTTTACAGGGTATGGAGCCCCCTGAGCATTCTGTCCCTCTGTCCCCCTGTGGTGGCTGGGGGGGCTTTGCCTCAAGCATGGAGGGTGCAGAGGGATGGGGTCATCCCAAGGGTGCCAGAGTGGGAGGCTTGGACCACAAATTTGCAAAGAAACCCCAAGATTATTTGGGATTGGGAATGGGTTCCTTCCAGTATAAATCCTGGTGGTGTTAATGTGAGCTGGTCACTCCTGGCTACCCCCAGTCGAATTCCAGGCACCCAAGGAAGGGCAGGGATGTGAGGCTCAGGCTTTGAAAGCCACACTCTGGGATTTAAAACTCATTTTCAAGGGACTGAAACCTAAACCTGCAGTGCCCATCCTCTGCTTTTGTCCCTGTCCTGCTGCTCTGTCACCCCCCTCAGGCAGTGCTGATCCTCCAGGAACATCCTGAGCTCACCATTCTCTCTCCTTAGGGAGGAGCTGTGCCCTTGGCCAGGAAACTCAAGGCCACCCAGACAGAGCTGAGGCTGTTCAACAAACTGGCAGAGCTGCAGATCAGCCTGCAGGGCTATGAGAAGGCTCTGGAGTTTGCCACGCTGGCAGCCAGGCTCAGCCTCAGGGTCGGTGAGTGATTTACACCCTAAAGTTACTGGCAGTTACTGGGAGTTTCTGGGAAGTTAATGACTTATTGGGGGAGCCAGTGAATCTTGTGGATGAGAACCAGATCCATGTGAAAAGGGGATCTCCTGCTTTCCTAACACTGCTGGACCTGCTCTTACCAAAAATCATGACAGCTTTTTAAGGCCACTTCCTCTTTTTTCAGCTGTGTGAGAGCAGAGGGTTTGTGTTACCCCAGAGCACAGGAAGTCTGGTGAAAGCACAGGACTCAGCAGTTCCTCTCTGCCCTGCTTCTGCTAAAAAACCTCACCCCTTCCCACTGCAGAAATAGTTTGGATGGGCAAAATGCCAGCTTAAATGTCTGGGATAGGACCAGTCTTGTACCAGCCCCTTCCAGCACCCAAAACAATCCCCTGGCTGGATGACACTCCTGGGCCAATCTCTCCAGCTGTGGCATCAACCACCCTGCCCATGGCTCTGCTTTCTCTCAGAGATACCCATGCCCCAGGCTGCTGAGAAAATGCATCCAGAGTGGCTCAGCAGGGCTGGGCATGGATTGAGCTGGATCAGCAACTTTTCCAGGAGATCCATGGCAGGAGCTGGTTGTTCCCTCTGCTTTCCCAGGGGATCAGCTGCAGGAGCTGGTTGATCCCACACCTCTATTTTCCCAAGGGATCAGATCCCATCCCTCTCTTTCCCAGGGGATCACCTGCAGGAGCTGGTTGATCCCACCTCTCTTTTCCAGGGGATCAGCTGCAGGAGCTGGTTGATCCCACCTCTCTTTTCCAGGGGATCAGCTGCAGGAGCTGGTTGATCCCACCTCTCTTTTCCAGGGGATCAGCTGCAGGAGCTGGTTGATCCCACCTCTCTTTTCCAGGGGATCCATGGCAGGAGCTGGTTGATCCCACCTCTCTTTTCCAGGGGATCCATGGCAGGAGCTGGTTGATCTCACCCCTCTCTTTCCCAGGGGATCAGCTGCAGGTGCTGGTTGATCTCACCTCTCTCTCCCCCAGGGGATCAGCTGCAGGAGCTGGTTGCCTTCCACCGCCTGGCCACAGCCTATGACCTGCTGCACATGCACGAGATGGCCGAGGATTGCTACCTGAAGACCCTGGCCATGCGTCCCCCCGTGCTGCAGAGCTCAGCAGAGGCCCTGTACTACTGCAAGGTCTACTGGCACCTGGGCAACCTGGCCCTGCACAAGCTGAAGGTAGGAGAGGAGCCCTCCCATGCTGCTGTGCCTTGCATGGAGGGCTGAGGGTGGAGATCACATTTGGTTTTCAAGGGAGGAAAGGAATTTGGGAAGAAGTGCTGGCACTTAACACCATTCCATGAAATCAGGCGTCCCTGGGTCTGCTCCAGCTCCAATGAAGTGTTGTTATAGAGCACGACACAGCACAAAGTACCACAACTCCATCAGAAGGGTGCAAGCGAGATTTATTACAGTGTTGCTTTTATACTTTTCCAAGATATTTACATTCATCCAACATACACATTCACTGCCCATTGGTTATAGGAAAGAAACAAAGTACTCAGTGGGTGACCAAGGAGCCACGTCACTCTGTGAGCCAGCTAGAGGCTGTGTCTCTTAACTTTCTCTCCTTCATCACATCTCCATGGTGACAACCTTGGTGTCTTCCTCAGGAGAGATCTGGGGCTTTCCTTTCTCTTCAGGAGGCCTTTGCTGGCCCACAAGAACAGCACAGAATGTCTTTCCTACAGTGAAGCCCCTTCCTAACTTCTGTCCTGTGTTTTCCCTCAGGATGAACAGGATGCAGCCTCCTACTTCCTGCTGGCCCTGGCTGCAGCCACCGAGCTGGGGGACCAGGAGCTGCAGGCCCTGCTCCGTGCCAAGCTGGGTGCCATCCCCGGAGCCCCAGGGGGACCTGAGGGCACCCCAGGCTGTGCCACAGACCGGCCCCGATGGCTGAGCCAAGGTGGCCACGTGGTGTGACCCGTGTGCCACCCTGGGGACACCAGTGGAGACATCCAGCAGCACCATGCCAGGTCTGTGTGCCCACCAGGACCAGCCCAGGAGAGTCCTGCACCACGTCCTGAGGGGCTGGAGGGGTTTGGGCTCCTCCCAAGCATTGGGACCCTGCCCTTGTTTTCCAGGAGCAGGGCTGTGCCCAGAGCGGAGGTGGCACAGCCAGGGCAGGGTGGCACAGCAGCGGTGCTGGAGCTGAGGGTGCAGCAGGGCTGAGCTCTTGGGGGGGGGTCAGGAGTGCCCTGCTCAGGATGGGGAATGCTGCCATGTGCCTGTCCCCACACCTTGGAGCAGCTCAGCCCAACCCAAACTTGTTTGGAACAGCAACTCTTTTATTTACACCTGAATTTATCCTCATCTGCTCCATGAGGTCTGTCTGGCATCTCTGCCAAGCCCCTCTCCTGTAAAAAGCACCTCCAAAGCTTTTGGCAGTGAGGGACAGAATTAGGGAGGTGAGGAGGAATAAAGGGGCTGGTCCAGCCTCATCTGCGGGCAGAAAAAGGTGCTCAGGGGGAGGCAGAGCCACCCTGACCCCAGCCCTGCCACCCAACCTCCGGGTCTGGAGCAGGAGCGCAGGAAAGGAGCACAGGAACGGGGAGCTGCTGGCGTCCCCATCCCTGGAGGTGTCCAAACGTGGATGTGGCATTTGGGGACACGGGTTAGAGCTGGGGAACGGTCGGGCTCGATGATCCTAGAGGGATTCCCGACCTTGGAGGGATTTCCCGACCTTGGAGGGATTTCCCCACCCGAGCTGTTCTCCGGGCACAGGAGGATGCAGAGCTCTGCTGCTCAGCCCGGCTCGCCAGCAGAGAGCAATAAATGCCCACTTTTGCAGCGGGAGCGGCTTCCCCTGGAGCTCAGGGAAGAAGGAGAGCTTTTCCCAGCTGATCTCTTTGCCTTGGCAACCAGCGGCCGTCTGGGCTTCACAGCCAGACCCCGCTCCCAGTTCCTCCAGCTCCCTGCCCGTGCTGCCCTGCTCGGATTCTTAAATGCAGAATATTTATTTATTTCCTCCCTCGCTGCTCTCTACAAACGCCGAGTTCAGCTGCCTCCCGCAGTCCCTTCGAGGCGTTTGTCACCGGGGCAGTGATTATTTACCTCTTGTTTACCGAGCATTGCTGCAGGGCTGCCGGGCAGCCTCACAGCCAGCCCCGAGCAGGGGAATCTCCATCCTGGGTGAGATCCAGCCAGCTCAGGGCTCCCCAAAACCTCCCTGCCCACCCCACCTGATGGGCTGCCTCACCTCAGTGCAGCTGCTTGGTGCTCACCATGCCAGGGCAGGATGTTTCCTGCAGTTTTTCAGTCAGTTCTCCTTTTTCTTTTGGACCATTCCAACCCCTCAGCATCCTCTGGATCTCCTCACACGCGGGGAAAAGCAGGGTGTCACACCTTTGTGCCAGGAGAAGATGGACAGGTGGAAATCAGGGTGTGGAGAGGAGCTGGGATGGCTCTGGAAGCCCTGAGGGGTTTATTTAAACTCTCAAGCTCAGAGTCTGAGCTGGCCTGACTCAGCTGAGCTCCAGGAGTCAAACAGAGACTCTGGAGCTGCTTTGGAACCAAAAGTGTCCTCCTTAAATCATCCCATAACAAATTTGTGGTAGGAAAAAGTCTTTGTCCTTGGGAGCATCCTGTAAAATGTCATTATCCCTGTCCCTCACCTGCCTGCCTGCTCCCACATGCAGTGATGAGTGGGATGAGAGCTCAGGGGGGCCAGGGCTAATTAAAATTTACAATACAATGAAATTTAAAGCTGCTGTTCATGTGCACCAAGTCCTGGGTCGGTGCCCAAGGAAAGATGAGGATATTCCATCCCTCCAGCTACCAATTTTGTGGGCAGAGAAGTCTGGGGACTTCGTGCCAGAGGAGGTCACCAATGGTGGCTCAGCTCCTGCAGCTCCTGTCCTCCAGCCTGCCCAGGATGGGGATGTTGTCCCTCATTCCTGGGGGATTCTGTGGGACCCTGCAGGAGGGGTGCAGAGCCTGCCCAGGGCTGTGCTGCTGCTCCAGGACAAGGCTCTGGAAGGAAGAGAAGGAATGTGGGGACACAGAATTATCCTGCAGAAAGCATTGACCACAGCGTCCTGCCCCGACGCCGCAGAAATAGGGGAAAGGGAAGGGATGGATCAAATCTCCTGTGACACCAGCGGGGCCGTGGCTCGTGACTCCTGCCCCAGCCACATGTGACTGCCTGCTCCATGCCCTGGCCAGGAGTTTTCCTTCCTCCCTGCAGCCAGACAGGCTGGAAATAGGCCTGGAGGGAGCCACGTGCGGCAGCACGAGCTGCTCGGAGCAGCACCTTCCTCCCAGAGCTTCCAGAGGGTGCTGGGACATCCCTGCTTTGGATTTGGTGCTCCACTCCTTCCCCAGTTTGGCCTTCCAGCACTCCCAGTCCTGGCACTGTGATCCCCTGTTTGTTTGATGCCTCAGGGGACCATTTAAGGCCTGGAGTGACCAGGGGCTGGATTTCTCTCCCATATGTTCATTCTTGGACAGTGGAAATACCACGACAGGAATAATTCTTGCATCATCTGAGCTCTGCTGTGAGCCTCCCATGGAATGGGGAGAAAGGAAATGCTGATAAATGGAAACGCAGATATGGACACAGAGCTGGGTTTATTTGGATTTTCGTGGAAATGACTCGTTTCTGCAGAAATACAGCACCCAACAACAACAGCTGTTATCAGCAGACATTTTTTCATCATTCCTTCGTGGCACACTGGTGCAAACTGGGCTGGATGAGAGACCTGGCGTGGAGGAGCAGCAAGGCTGAGGCAGAGATAAACCCTGAGCTCAGCTTATCTCAGAGGTGGCTGCTCCTCTCTGGGCAGCATCTCCTGCTGTTGCCTGGCTCAGTAATGAGGAGTTGGTAAACACCAGCTGTTCTGCTAAGCAGAGCTGGGGGGAGTGTGTAAACTGGGTAATTTAGATTAAAAATCATTTATTTGCACAGCAACCTGCTTGTTCAGTGATAATTGGGCTCATAAATATGTATGGGGGGAGGAGGAGCAGGGGCTGAGGCTGAGCCAGAGCCAGGAGTCACCAACTGTGGCTGCAGGGGCTTGAATGAACTCTCCATCTGTGCACTGGGATGGAAACAACTGGAACAGGCCTGGCATTCCTGCAGTGCTGCTGGGCTGCCCTGAGAGCTCACCTTGTCCTGGGGCAGGGCAGAAGGGGCACAGGAGCAGCAGGGAAGTGCCTCTGGATGGGGAATAGATGTAAAAATAATTCCCAGCAGGAATTTGAAACTCCTTGTGCTGAGGTGGCATCAGGCAGGGGGCACTCCTGGAGCTGTCACCTCTGCTGGCACTGCTCTGTCACCTCAGTGTCCCTGGCACTCCCCACCTGGGATGGGCATGGAGAAACCCCTGTGGGCATGGAGAGGGCTGGGAGAGCGAACTGGGAAAATGGGGCAGAAAACACAACCCAAGCATCCAACAGGTGAAACCCCAGTGCCAGGGACGTGTGGATGTGGCTCTGCTGGGTGCCAGGGCATGGGGACAGCTCCCTGCTCCTGCCTTGTCCTGGGTTGGGAGGTGCCAGGGGGAAATGGGGACCCAGGGAAGCTGCTCAGAGCTCCTGGGGGCTGTGCCAAGAGTGACAGCTCCAAACAGAGGGAAACGGGCAGGAAAAGTGGCAGGAAAGGAGGAGGAAAGATGCAGGAAAAAGGCAGAAAAACTGGCAGGAAAGAGGATGGAAAGAGGTAGGAAAAAGGTAGAAAATCTGGCGGGAAATAAGCAGGAAAACTGGGAGGAAAGAGGGAGGGAAAAGGCAGGAAAGAGGTGGGAAAGTGGGAGGAAACTGGCAGGAAAAAGGCAGGAAAAGTGGCGGGAAAGAAGGAGGAAAGAGGCAGGAAAACTGTGAGAAAACTGTCAGGAAAACTGGGAGGAAACAGGTGGGAAACAAGTACGAAATAGGCAGGAAACAGCTAGGAAAACTGGAGGAAACTGGCAGGAAAAAGGCAGGAAAGAGAGAGGAAATAGGCAGGAAGACTGGCAGAAAAGAGGCAGGAAAAAGGTAGGAAAGAGGCAGGAAAACTGGGAAGAAACTGGCAGGAAAACTGGGAGGAAAAAGGTAGAAAAGAGGCAGGAAAACTGTCAAGAAACTGGCAGGAAAACTGGGAGGAAAACTGGCATAGGAATCTGTTCTCCCCACAGCACTGGAGCCAAGTGTAGGCTGCAGCACAAGTGCCAGCAATTCCTGTCACACTGCAGGAGAGGGAGGGAAATTAAAAAGATTCCACATTTGGCCGTGGGGACTCTTGGAATGCAGTCCAGGAATCGGGATGAATTCACAGAAATGAGCTCCTGAGCAGCAGATGGGTTTTGAGGAAGGAAGAATGAATTCTTACATAACCAAACTCCCTCTGTGCTCTGGTTATGGGCTGCTTGTTTTCTTTTGCTGTTTTCTTTGGGTTTTTTCCTTTCTTTTGCACCTGCTCTGACCATGGCACTGGGGCCACACAAGAGCACAAACCCACATTGGTCATAAATCCTGTATCTGCAGGATTTATGGGCTGGTTGTGCGTTTTAATCCTCCCTGGAACACCCTCAGCTCCTTGCAGCTGATTGTTTAATGGCAACACGATTTTTCCTTCCCCTGTCTTGAGATTTAAGACAGGCTTGATCCCAAAGTATTCCTACAACATAAATCAGGTTTAAAAAAACTTTGGAAAGGATTTCATGAATTCCTACATGACTCCAGAGCATCAGGAGTCTCCCCCAGATTTCCCTGACCCATCAGGTGGGTTTTGCTGTTTTTATCTCATGGTGTGGCCGAAGGATGAGCTGTGAGCTCTGTGCTGGGGCAGAGCACTGAGGGACAGGGAGGCACCCAAAGGAAACCAAACCTGGCACCTTCAGAGCCATCTCTGTCGCCTGTGCCTGTACCATGCCTATTTTGGGAGTTATTTGGTACCCCAGAAGATTTGGGGGGTGTCTCTGTCCTGCCTTCTCTCAGTTCTTTCTTCCTCTGCTGGCCTTGACAGATTTTCTTCTGAAATCTTCTTGCTTCTGTTTTGATAAATTCCCAGCCATGAGCTGCTTTGCT